CTCTACCCAGCAAGGCTATCATTCAAAATAGAAGGTGAAATAAAGAGCTTTCCAGACCAAAAAAAGGCTAATGAAATATATTAACACCAAACCAGCACTGCTAGATATGCTAAAAAAATAAAAAATAAAATAAAATAAAAATAAAAATAAAAACTGCTGTAATTAGTAAAAAAATAGAAAGAAAAATAGAACCACACTAAACAAAAATGGCAATAAATAAGTACATATCAATTATCACCTAAAATGTGAATGGTTTCAATGTTCTGATAAAAAGATACAGATTAGCTGACTGGATAAGAAAGCATGACTTACATATATATTGTTTAAAAGAGACCCACCTCACAACAAAAGATTCAGATAAGTTGAAAGTAAAGGGATGGAAAAAAATCTTCCAAGCAAATGGAAAGCAAAAATAAAACTGGGTTAGCAATACTCATATCTCATAAAGTAGATTGCCAAATGAAGGCCATAACTAGAGACAAAAGGCCACTACATAATATTAAAAGGATCTATCCAACAGAAAGATATAAACTTGATAAACATATATGCACCCAATACAGCAACACCAAAATCTATTAAAATTCTTCTGGGAGACTTCAAAGGAGAAGTCGATAGCAAAACAATTATACCAGAGGACTTCAACACCTCACTGACATCACTGGATAGATTCTCAAGACAAAAAATTAGCAAGGAAACAGAGACTCTAAATGAAGCACTAGACCATATGAATTCAATAGATATCTACAGAGAACTATACCCCAAAACTACAAAATTCACATTCTTCCCAAGTACACATGGGACATTCTCAAAGATAGACCACATGTTAGGGCACAAACTATGTCTCTACAAGTTCAAGAAGATTGATATCATATCAAGCATCTTCTCAGATCACAATGGCATGCAAATAAAAATCAATTGTAAAAAGAACATGCAAGGTCATTTGAAAACATGTAGGCTAAATAGCATGTTATTGAATAATGAATGGGTTACCATGAAGATCAAGGAAGAAATTAAATCTTCCTGGAAACCAAAGAAAATAAACTCACAACAACACAAAATGTATGGGATGCAAGGAAAGCAGTTCTGAGAGGGAACTTCAGAGCACTACAGGCCTACTCAAGAAGAAAGAATAATTTCTAATAGACTATCTAACCTCACAACTTAACGAACTAGAGAGCAAACAAACAGAAAACATCAGAGGAATTAGAAGGAAGGAAATAGTAAAGATCAGAGCAGAAATAAATGACATAGAGACCAAAGAAACAATGCAAAAGACCAAAGAAACAATGCAAAAGATCAACGAAACAAAGATCTGGTTCTTTGAAAAGATAAACAAGATTGATGGACCCTTAGCTAGACTCACATAGAAACAAAGAGAGAGACCCAAATACACAAAATCAGAAATGAAACAGGGGAAATAATAACTGACACCACAGGAATACAAAGGATTGTTAACAAATAATATGAACAATTATACAGCAACAAATTTGACAATCTAAGTGAAATGGACAAATTACTAGAAACACATAGTCTCCCAAAACTGAACCTGGAAGAGACAGAAACACACCGATAACAACAACAACAAAAATTGAAGATGTAATCAAGACTCTCCCAGCAAACAAAAGCACAGGCCCAGAGGGCTTCATGAGGGAATTTTACCGAACATTCAAAGAAGAACTAATACCCATTCTCCTCAAACCATTTTTAAAAATTCAAGAAGAAAGTCGACATCCAAACTTGTTTTATGAGGCCAGCATAATTCTAATTTCAAAACCAGAAAAAGACACTACAAAGAAAACTACAGACCAATATCCCTGATGAACGTAGATGCCAAAATCCTGAACAAAATACTAGCAAATCAAATTCAGCAATACATCAAAAAAATTATTCATGATTCCAAAATGGTGTCGGAGTGAACGGAAGATACACAGACCATCTCCCAGGACCAAACTGGAATTACAATGAAAATAAAGACAAATCGTCAGGAAAGAGCAACAGAAAAGCAGCTTGGAGGACCATATAACCAGGGACACTGATTCAATCCTGGTAAAATTCTGAAGGCAGAAAAGGGGGCTGAGAGCCCACAGACAGCAGCCGCCCTAGCTGTGAGCAGAGCCCTCATGTAACACTCCCAAGTGGCTCCACAGCGCAAGGCCAGGACAGACACGGCCACACACCTTGGCGTTCAGCAGAAGGAAGGCAGACTGGACTGGAACTGTGTGAGGACACTCAGGATTTGGAGGGTGCTCAAAGATTTTGCTGAATTGCGACCACGCAGGACAGTGGTCATCTTACTCCTTCCTAGGGCAATGAGGGGAGGCAGTAGCCCTTCCCTGGGAGATTCAACCTCACAGGGTGGCCATGGAAATGCAAATTGAGGTTTATTAACAACCAGAAACTGCCCCACCCTCAGGAAATGCCCTTAAACTGAACACCTGAGGGAGTTTTTCAGTCAACTGAGAAGCCAAGGCTTTTCAAGTAACTGCGACTAATAGCCTCCAGGCAAAAAGCTAGAAAATAACTGAACAATTCTTGGGCATGCAACTCTGCCCAGGAAGGTAAGACTCGGAAGTGGTGTTTAACTTGGGTTCTCCCATGCTCATGCAAACCCGGTAGAGGGTGCCAAAAACAAAAGAACAGCAACACCCACAGAGAATATTTGGCAGGCTCCAAAGCCCACAAGACAGCAAAAATGGTGAAAGAAATAAACAAAAGCCAAATAAAAGAACAAGAGATCTCTACCGAGGAGGAGATAAATGAGGTGCAGTTAAGCAAGTTAACAGAACTAGAATATAGAGCCATGATCTTGAGGAAGCTCAAGAGCATGTGTAAGGACATGAGCACCATGAGTAAAGACACAGAAATGTTGAAAATCAACCAGTTAAAAATTAAAAACCACCAAGTAAAAATGAAGAATGACATATCAGAAATAAAGAACACATTGAAAGGTCTTAAGAGCAGAGTAGAGGAAGCAGAGGACCGGATCAGTGAATTAGAAGATAGGGTAGACAAAGAAATAAAGAACCAATTCGCAGAATATGACAGGTCATTGAAAAAAGAAATAGAGGAAGATACTAAAAAGTGGAAGCACATATCTCGTTCATGGGTTGGATGAATCGACATCATTAAAATATCCATACTACCCAAAGCAATCTATAGATTCAATGCAATCCCCATCAAAATACCAACGGTATACTTCACAGAATTAGACCAAGCACTTCAAAAGTTCATATGGAAACAAAAAAGAACTCAAATAGCCACAGCAATCTTGAAAAAAAAGAACAAAGTTGGAGGGATCACATTACCAGATTTCAGGTTATACTACAAAGCCACTGCAATCAAAACAGCCTGGTACTGGCACAAGAACAGGCATATAGACCAGTGGAACAGAACAGAGAACCCAGAAATGGACCCAAGGCAATATGCTCAATTAATATTTGACAAAGGTGGCAAGAGCATACAGTGGAGTAAAGACACCCTCTTTAATAAATGGTGTTGGGAAAATTGGACAGCTACATGCAAAAAAAAAAAAATGAAACTAGATCATCAACTTACACCCTACACAAAAATAAACTCAAAATGCATAAAAGTCTTAAATGTGACTCATGATTCCATAAAAATCATAGAAGAAAATGTAGGCAACAAAATTTCAGACATCATATGCAGCAGCATTTTCACTGAAACATCACCTAAGGCAATAGAAACAAAGGAGAAAATGAACACATGGCACTACATCAAACTCAAAAGCTTCTGCAGAGTAAAAGATACAATCATCAAAACGAAAAGGGGTCTACCCACTGTATGGGAGAGCATAATTGCCAATGATATATCAGATAAGGGGTTAATTTCCAATATATAGAGAGCGCTCATAGAGCTCAACAAAAGGAAGACAAAGAACCAGTTAAAAAATGGGCAGAGGAACAAAATAAACACCTCTCTAAACAGGACATACAAATGGCTAAGAGACATTTTAAGAAGAGCTCAACGTCACTAATCATCAGAGAGATGCAAATTAAAACAACAATGAGGTATCACCTCACACCTCTCAGAATGGCCACCATCAACAAATCATCAAACAACAAATGTTGGCGAGGGTCTGGAGAAAAGGGGACTCTAGTACACTGCTGGTGGGAATGCAGACGGGTGCAACCACTATGGAAAACAATATGTCTTACCTCAAAAAATTAAAAACTGAACTTCCATTTGACCCAGTGATCCCACTTCTAGGAATATACCTTAGAAGCCTGAAACTCCAATCAGAAAGAATATATGTACCCCATGTTCATAGCAGCACTATTTACAATAGCTAAGATGTAGAAACAGTCCAAATGTCCATCGGTAGACAAATGGATAAAAAAGCAGTGGTACATATACACAATGGAGTACTATGCAACTGAAAGAAAGAAAGATCTGTTATTCTTTGAGACGACATGGAGGGACCTGGAAAGTATTATCCTAAGAGAAACAAGCCAAACAGAGAAAGATAAGTATCATATGATCTCACTTATTTGTGGAATATAATGAACATAACAGTCTCAGGAAGGGGGTAGTCCCCGAGACGTGGAAGTGGGGTACCAACCGACAATTCCCAGAAGAGGGGGTGGTGGGGGAGAGATAAACCACAGAACTTATATGCATGTGTGCATGAACAATGGACATGGACAACAGCTGGGGACAGGGCAGGGAGGGTGGGGAAGGGGGGAATCAGTGGGGGAAAATTGAGAAACATCTGTAACAAAAATAAATTAATTAATTTAAAAAATAAGGATAAATACAGACTTAGTTCCTAGAAAACGTGAGAATATTTAGCATGGTAATTACTAAAAGGTACAGAAAAGGGTCATTTAATCATGTCAGGGAAGGCATTCAGGGAAGTTCACACATGAGTTGAGTCTTGAAGTTCTCTCCATGTTTTTTGTACATGCCTCTTCTTTATAGTATTTTTTGCATTGTATTGTACCTGCTTACAAATCGGCCCTTAATTAAACTATGGATACCTAATGGTAGGGTTAGAATCTTCCACATTTTTGTTTCTCCTGAATCCCATAAAGGCACACGGTGTTTTATTGCATTTTGCTTTATTGGGCTTCATAGATGTTGTATTTTTTTTTAATTCATATTTTTTTTTATTGTTTTTCTGGAGATATAGTAAGGGAGAGACAGAAAGAAACATGGATCGTCAGGAATCGAACCCACAACCTGGGTATGTGCCCTGATGGGAATCCAAAAGGACACCTTTCAGTGCATGGGACGACTCTCAACCAACTGAGCGAAACAGGCCAGGGAAGATGTTACATTTTTTTTACAAATTGAAGTCAAGACCCTCCACCAGAAAAAAGATTATACCTCGCTTTTTACTGTAGTTTGGAACCAAACCCTCAATATCTCCAAGGTATGCCTGTAGATAGCATTACCCAACAAACATTGGAGTAAGCACAAGAAAGCAAGGAAAGTAATAGAGAGGAGGAGAAAAGTAGATTTGCTTGGCACATGGCAGGAAAGAAAGGAAACAAATATGCAGAAAGAAGATTAAAGGAAGGAAAGTAAAAGTAAGAGGTATTTATTAGGATTAGGTTCAGCTATGACAGACAGAAAACCAAAATGGCTTATAGAAAAGAGAAGTTTATTTTTCTCTTAAGTAAAAAAAGTCATGGAGGGGAGTTGGTATTCCAGGGCTCATAAGGGCTTCGCAAATTCTTTACATTGTTACTTCTTAAATATGCTTTTATTGATTTTTTAGAGAGAGAGGAAGAGAAAGAGTGTTAGAAACATCAATGTGAGAAACATCAATCGGCTGCCTCCTGCACACCCCCTACTGGGGATCAAGCCCACAACCCGGACATGTACCCTGACTGGGAATTTGACCAGGACCTTTCAGTCCATGGGACAATGCTCAATCCACTGAGCCACATTGGACGGGCATATTTATGTACAATTTTAACCAAAAACTATAGTATATATTGTTCAGGGCTATATACATTTATATTAGATTGAACAAACTGAAATTGTTTATTTTATAGTTCAAAATGCTCAAATATTAAAACTTTGTATATGTGCTGCTGAAGCGAGACAAAACTTTGTTAAAAAGAAAATAAATCAACAAACAACAGTTGTTGGTGAGGATGTGGAGAAAGGAGGACCTTGTGCACTGTTAGTGGGAATGCAGATTGGTACAGCCACTGTGGAAAATAATACAAAGGGTCCGCAAAAGATTAAAAATGGAACTACCTCATGACTCAGAGATTCCACTTCTGGGTATATATCTGAAGAAACCCCAAATACTAATTTGAAATAATATATGAACTTCTATGTTCATTGCAGCCATTATTTACAATAGCCCAGCTATGGAAGTAACCCAAATGCCCATCAATAGATGAGTAGATACATAAAATGAAATATTGCTTGGCTATAGACAACAATGAAATCTTAACATTAGTGACAGCATGAATGGACCTACAAGGTATTATGCTTCGTGAAATAAGTTTATATGTGGAATTTAAAGAATAATACAAATAAACAAACAAAACAAACAGACTCATAGATACAGAGAACAGACTTGTGATTGCCAGAAGGGAGGGGTTTGGGGGACTGGTAAAGGGATTGAGAAGTACAGGTGGGTAATTACAGAATAGTCACAGGGATGTAAAACATAGGGAATATAGTTAATAATAGTGACCAGCAAGCCTCCTAAAACCTAGCTTCACTCTCCAGCCCAGCAACCACCAGCACAATCAGCGCACCATGGGAGCCATGGTTGCCAGAAAAGTAGAAAAGTACTGATTGTACTGGCTCATGCTGAGAGCACATCCTTTAACTATGCCATGAAGGAGGCTGCTGTAGAGGCTTTGAAAAGGAACGGATGGGAGGTCACTGTGTCAGACCTGTATGCCATGAACTTCAATCCTGTCATCTCCAGAAAGGACATCACAGGTAAACTGAAGGACCCCAAGAATTTTCAGTTTCCTGTCGAGTCTGTTCTAGCTTATAAAGAAAGCCATCTGAGCCCAGATATAGTGGCTGAACAGAAGAAGCTGGAAACTGCAGACATTGTGATTTTTCAGAAGAAGAAGACAGTGTTGTCCATCACCACTGGTGGCAGTGGCTCTATGTGCTCTCTGCAGGGTGTCCACGGGGACATGAATATCATTCTCTGACCAATTCAGAGTGGCACTCTGTATTTCTGTGGCTTCCAGGTCTTAGAATCTCAACTGACATATAGCATTGAGCACATTCCTGCGGATGCCCGACTTCAGATCCTGGAAGGATGGAAGAAACACCTGGAGGATATTTGGGATGAGACTCCACTATATTTTGTGCCAAGTAGTTTCTTTGACCTAAACTTCCAGGCAAGATTCTTAATGAAAAAGGAAGTCCAGGAAGAGCAGAAAAACAAGAAGTTTGGCCTTTCTGTGGGCCATCACTTGGGCAAATCCATCCCGACTGACAACCAGGTCAAAGCCAGAGAATAAGATTCACAAGATTTGATTTCCTTCTAAAATGTAGCCAAATCTAGGTTTATTTTCCAGGCTTCCTTTAGTTTTTAACATTTGTATTTTTCTTTTCCATGAGGAATGAATGGGAGAGAGAATAGACTATTCATACATTTTAGATAGTTTTAGTAAACATAACAATTGATTCTTACAATTGCTTTCATGGTAAAATCTAATTAGGCTCAACACGCCACTTAAAATATAAAGCAAGGAAAGGTATAGAAAGAGGCTAGACAATATTATTTAAGGCTCTGTACATAATTTTTTAGGGGTCCCTCTTTTAGGGATAAATTTTTAGGGCTAAATCTCACTAGAAAGCATCCAACTCTTCAATGATCTATTTTTCTTTTAATTACCTCTCTGTGGTGTACAGCAAAATGGAATTGCTCAGAGAAAGCAATGACTGAATCTGTCAGACCTAAGGGACTTATTGAGTAGTTAGTAGTCGATGCCTGTTTGTGATATACATTGGTTTTAACTACTGCATAGTGACTGATATACCTAATATGAGTGTTACTCTTCCTTTAACTTCTGGTGTTTGCATAAAAATACCTTGAAATTAAAAGCTAATAAAAGTCTCCTTTACTTTAATCTTCTAAACAATAAAAAAAAAAAAAAATAAATAAATAAATAAATAAATAAAAGTAATAGTTTGATAACTATGTATGGTACTTGGGCGGTACTGGAATACCAAGGGAAACACTTTGGAAAGTATATGATTATCTAATCACTATGCTGTACACGTGAAATCAATATAAAATAATACTAAAAGTAAACTATAATTGAAAAATTAAAAATACATAAAATGAAGAATTTCTGCTTCTGATTTAAATTCAAAAGTCCTCAACAAAACCTAACAGTCAGCCAGTACCCTGGTTCCCTGCTAGATGTGGGTTTAGCACAGTGATACTTTCCTTGGTTTCCGAGCTAATATTGTCACTAAACCGACCAAATCTCCTGAATTAATCCAGGAAAGCCCAAAGGAGAGCTCAGTTGAAAGAGATAAAATCTAGCTATAATCCAAGACCTCATGTGTCTTCAATGTTTATAAGACTAATAGTAGTGTTGCTTGGATGGCATATGTTAGCTTACTCATATTCATGCCCCCTTCCAATGTCTTTCTCGCCACCCTTTTTCTCGCTCTCTCCCTCCTTCCCTCTGATTCATTACACCTTGGAAAGTAATAATGTGGCATATCCAAACCTAAGAGAATTTCATTTCCTACCACCAACCCAGGAAGCACTCTCAGGCATTTAACTTTTCAACAACTTATTTGAAGCAACTGCACTGAAGGTAGCAAAACTGCACTGGGTCCCTTAAGGCAATGCTTTGTATGAAACACACACAGCAGGCCCACTTCTGTTCATAGACATTCACAGAGCTCTCACAACTGCGTTCTGACATCTTCAGGCTGGTAGAGAAGAGCTGCAGGACCTCCAGGCCTTTTAGAGGGGGTTATTTTTAAAAACTTTTTTTCATCTTACCCTGTTTTAACTTGAGTTCCAAAGAGAGCTGTTGGACAGTATCTAAAAATATACTTTCTTAATTAGGTGTGAGTCTGTTATCTGAACTAATTTTTTTCTAAAAAACTATCAATGATAGTCTTAATTAGTCGTGTTTAGTACACACACACACACACACACATCAATATATGAAAATAAACAAGGGATAAAAGAACAAAGAGGAGAACCTTTAGGTATATGGAAACCTAGTTAAATCAAGGAATGTGTACACTGCTTCCCCTGCAGTACTCTGAAGTGGTGGCTGATTATTTTCTCATACCATAAGTACTTTGGGGCCAAAAGTTTGGTAGCTGTCATCCCTGTTCCTTATTGCTATTTCTAGTGCTCATTACTGTTATGAAACTCTCTTTTGGCTTATGCCATCTAACCATACCAATCAATCTCTCTCTCTCTCTCTCTCTCTCTCTCTCTCTCTCTCTCTCTCTCTCTCTCTTCTGTAGCTGTCAACAATTCCTTCATTTATCAGACCTTGCCATTGTCCTCCCCAACCCAAGCCCTGTGATCATTCTTAGTGACATTAATATCCATATTGATGGTTCTTCCATTCATCTGGCTTCTTAGTTCCTTGATTTTCAATTTCAATTTACCTGCCCCTGTACACTAGCTTAATCACCCATCTGTAAAATCCCTGAATCTACTTCACCTTTCATGTTACTAATTCCAGCACCTTATTCTCTGTACATAGTCTCTTCTTTTCTGCTTTTGTGTGTTCAAGTACTTCAACCACAATCATTCATGGACTTCATTAATATCTCAAGTTCATTGACTTCTTTACTTTCTCTAATCAGTTACTTTTTTTTTACCTTGCTTTTTATCCAGTTTAAATCCCCTCAGTCCACCTTTTCAATAATTCTTGTCAACATCCTAAATTCTCTCACCTCTCTGTCATTTCATTGCATCCATCTGGCAAAACCCTAACTGTGAAGGAAAATTCTTGTCTTCTTTCACCATGTTTTCACCAGAGTGATCAATAACTGCTAGATAGTCACACATGACGACGACTGGGACCACTAAGTGTTCATGATCACCAGCCTTATAGATATTCTGAATACCTCCTGCAACCCTAATATATGTCTTTGACCAATTCCATTTCCTATTCACCACAGACTGCTTAAAATGTTCTCCATTCTCCTCAAACCTCTATTCCTTGACTCCATCCTCCTCCCTCTATCCCAGAAAATTACAAAGAAAATTAAAGCCATTAGATATAAACATTCTCCTCTCCTTGATTACATGTATAAAGGCCTACTTGCATCTGTACCTTTTTATAGTTAAGAGCCAGCTCTACCACTTGCTATCTGGGTGAATTTTATTAAAGCATATAGCCTTTCTGTGCTTTTTTGTTTTCTATAAAATATAAACAACAGTAATACCTACTTAATAGGATTGTAAAGCCTAATGAGTTAATGTGTGTAAAGTGCTTGGAATTGTGCATGGCACAAGGTAAGTCCTATTTAACTATTTGTTATTTTGAATATTGTTATTATTATCCTTTCCTCCTGCTATTATAAAGGAACTAGCATTTCTCTTAGCTAAGATAAAATTTTCCACCTATGTCTAATATTCTAGCTCTTCCATTTATACCAAAAACCTTTCATCATTCAACAAATATTTGTTACATGCTCACTACATTCTAAAATTTTTCTTAGGCATTGGGCATATAGGCAGGTATGAATCTGTAGTATTCAAAGTACAGCAAGAAGTCCATCAGGCCTACTGAAGAATGAGAAAGACAGTCATATATGATATGGTAGAGTTAGTTGAACCCATAACACAGGGGGATTTGTAAGATTAATATTTGCTGAAATTTCACTGAATGCCATTTTGTTTAAAGATTATAGGCAAAACCATAAATTGAACTTTACATAAGACCTGATAGCAGATATTATTGAACCTGATAGCAGATATTAGTGAATCAATTATGAAGATGCTATAGAATGCATATATGCATAACCAATGGACACAGACAACAGTGTGGGGAAGGTGGGGTGGCAGGAGTGGGGAGGAGGGTGTCAAAGGAGGACATCTGTGATACTTTCAACAATAAAGATAATTTTTTAAATCCTCACCCGAGGATATTTTTCTATTTATCTTCAGATAGAGTGGGAGGGAGAAAGAGAGAGAAACATGGACATGAGAGAGACACATTGACTGGTTGCCTCCCGCACAACCCCAACCAGGGCCAGGGACAAACTGCAACCAAAGTATGTGCCCTTGACTGGAATCAGACCCACAACTTTTTGGTCCACGGGCCAACACTCTACCACTAAGCCAAACCGGCCAGGGCAATAAAGACAAATATTAAAAAAAGATCCACCTTAAATACTCTTAGATAATAGAGTTCATTAAATGATTAAAAGAGGCTAAATCAAGAACGTAGGTGTGGCGTTACCAAACCCATCTACTGCCACCCATTCCTATTATTTGTAACTTATACTTTGGCTACTCAATGATCCACTCCTCAAATCTTCATAGTTTATAACATTTCTTTGCTTTGAAATTTTCTTGTTTGCTTCATGTTGTGTGGCTTGTGTTCATGGAATAATGGTTAAGAGCCCTGGTTCTGTCATTTATTAAATAGACAAGTTTCATAACTTTTACATGTCTATGTTCTCACCTGTAATATTAGGATAATAACAGAAGGTATATCATATCACTGTTGTAAGGTTTAAATGGTATAGTACATGTCAAATGCTTAGAATAGTGCCTGGCTTATAAACGGTAGTAAACAGTGAAAGCATGATCTCTGAAGACAAGTGTGCCTGAGTATCATTTCCAGATCTACATCTTACTATGAGACTTTAACCAAGTTAATTTACCTCTCTGAAACTTTATTATTTCATTTGTAATAAAATCCATCTATACATCCCACAAACAGTTACTCTTGGGCCTAGATGTATGCACACTAATGTTGCAATATCCTTTTGTGAGGATAAAATGAGATGTAATATATGAAAAGTGCTTAGCATACAGTTGTTGCACTTGTTATTATGATTAAAGCCTCAAACTTTGCATTTAAAAACCAAATATTCTGGGCCCACATCTCCATGTAAAACTATACTGTCTGCTGACACCTATTTCCTTCCTCATTCCTTTGCCACTTTCCAAAATCTTAATTATCTTTCCTCTCATTATAGGATCCCTCCAAGCCTAATGTTCCTACTTACAATCCAACAGCCTACTTAACATTATGTGCACCTTCTGTCACCCAAAACAAGGACCTCAAACAGGCATTAACATATTTTAATTGTCACTTGTTTCATCTTTACCCCATTGGTTTTTGGAGGTGATTATCATACTTTGGAATCATCCTCAAATCAAAGTAGTTCCCTGGCAGTAAGATAGAGCAGGCCTGAGAAGGCACTGGAAGCTGAGCATTGCACAGAAGATGACATAGAAGATACAGCCAAGCACACAAGGCCTGGAGTCCAATGCAAAACCATGTCAATCACCCAA